TATACTTCTAAAAGTCGTGTATCATGCATAGGAACGTTGACGCCTGCAAGGCTCTGGTTTTAAGTTAGGCCCCAGGGTTCTTCCTAGTAACCTACAAAACAAAAGAGGGGTTACATCAAGGACTGTATATTACTGTATATTGAATGTCAGGTACCTTAATTTTCCGTTTGCACGTCTTAATGTGAGGCCCCCGGGAATTATACTAAATTTTACATAATTTCTGTGCTATTTTCTGCCACAAGTTTTTAAATATTTCCACCATGAACATGCCCTCTATTTTATTGCTTTTATCTATAGGAATTGTATTGATTATTTTTAGATTAAAAAGTAGGTAGTAGGAAGAGGACCATCAAATCTTACCATACATTCCTAATAATTTTAGGCTTATAAAATAATGTGATGTATAAAATACCTCTAATATTAAACAAAATATGACTACAGTAATATTAATATAGGACTATATATAGGCCTATACACAGTAGTATTTCATTTCCTTTGATATGTTTCTTAATCATTAAGTTATTTGATCTATCCTACAAAACAACATATAAATTAAAAATGAATGAGATATTTACCTTAAAATACTTGGTTGAATCAGAGGTGCAGCATGTGTAAAATGTCTCCAACAATAGAAGTAGTTTCCAGGTTTATCTTTATCATTTAACAAACATGGCATAGATTGGTATGTTTGTGCACAATGAACTGTAACTTATAAAATGAGACATCAGACTTTGAACTGTTGTAAAGTTCAATAGTCATAATTTTATAGATAAAATTAAGTCAGGTCTCTACTAGACTAGGTTCCAGTCCCTAAACTTTGTTTTAATCAGTAAAAATGCTTTAAAATATATCAATTTTGGCATCAATGGCATTCCATATTACACTTGCTTATTTACCTTTTTTTTTTTTCTGGGATTAGGCGCATCAAAAAGTTTCTCAACATAAACTGATGCTGGTGGCGCTTTCCGAAATGTGCTTATTCTATGAAAAATAAAAGAAACTCATTCCTTTTCTCTTTTCTTGTTTATGCAACTATACTTTAGTTCTGAATTTTCCTGCAGTTGGCATGGCAGAAATAGCCATTGTTTTCTGTCTTAATTTTTTCCCTTCTATCCCATTTTCCTTTGTTTTTGCACAGCGATTTTCTGTCTCATTTTGGTCACTTTTCATGCTTTGATTTTCTTAAAAATTTGTCCAAGAAAACTACATCAAAGATTCAATTATATTAAAATATAAGGTCATTCTAAACATCTTGAATATTGGAATAGTTAATTAAACTTTTATTTCAATGTAATTTGCATTTTCTGAAGTGTTTCTAACTATTATCGTGAAATACATGAAAAGTTTGTACCTTTGACTTAATATTACACAAGGTGACAAACTAAAAATTCCCTGACCTCTGCAAGGTCAGGTTCTTTAGTGTAATTGTAAGAACTCTCATCATCACCCTCCCTCTACTGATGTTAGGGGTGTATCCAGGATTTTTTTCTGGGTGGGTCATGATCATAATGTTTTGGACCTTTTCAGTGGAGGACAGGAAAAGTAATTATAGTGCTAGTTTGAAGCGGATGACTGGCTCAGTTTCAGAATTGCTGGGATTGAGATAGATTACGTCACGCAATTGGCAAGGTATTTGGACTCATTGCTGGTACCTCATCAATGCTTTTTAATTTATGTCATTGAGAAAAGACCCTAGAAAAAAATGTCTTTGGAAAAAATGTGGACCTTTGAAAATTTTTGGGGGGTCGTACGACCTTCCTGACTCACCTTGCATGCACCCATGGATGTTGAGTTGTTCAAATTCTCTCCTCATAATTTTCTTTAGTATGATTTTATATTTGTGTTTAATTATTTTTTACTTCATACTTTTTCAGTGATTAAAAAAATGTTTTTGTAATTTCAACATCACTTCTCATTGTGGCAATGAGGAAAAGTTCAATGTTGTGCGGTATAATAGTCCCAGTAAAAATGTTCCCAGTAAAAATGGCCCCGGTAAAAATGGCTTCAAATGACAGGTATGTGCCAGGACGTACCTAAAATTTACCTGTAGATGTAACAGGCCTTGGAAGGCCTGGGAATTGTACACATTAAATTGTGTACAGCGATGACGGGGACTTAGCCGAGGATGTATGTTAAAACGATGCCCGGCATTGCTGGGAGGTGGCCAGGACTTTCATATGCATGTAACCGTTTTGGAAATTACATCTGCGGCTAAGTCCCGGGTCCAGGGGGCCGGGACTACAATTGAGAAGTGCATTTGGGAACCACATAACAGAAAGCAGATAAGTGGCTACAGTCATATCAAAATACAGCAATAGTACAGTAGTAATATTAGCCATGGTCACAATGTATTAAGTCCCAATCCTGATTTACATGTCCTTTGGTGTCCTTCTGACCACAAAAAAAAAGATATGTCAAGGATCTATCAAAGTAAAATTTATTATTATATACATGTTTGCTATAAAAAAAATTTTCAGGCTAAATTGAAGTCGGTATGACAGTTGTTTCCAGGGGAGAAGAGCACTGAGATGCAAGTTCAAAAAGACATAAGGGAGATGAGTGTGACCTCATGCATTCTTTCTCACCTGGTAAGTTTTTTTTTTTTTTTTTCAGGTTAATCTTCTTAAAATTCATTGGAGAGTCAGATGATTTCAAGAGAAAGCCAAAGTGGATACAAGTTAAAAAAGACAGGGAAACAAGAATGATGGGAAGCGTGGCCACATGGATTATGAATTAAAGCGTTTTTTCTCATCTTGTAAGTTTATTATATATATTTTTTTTTTCTATCTGACAAAAACAGGCTTGATGTTACCAATAAATACATCCGACTCACAGAAAGGGAACAAAGCTTGATACTAGGGAAATAAGAGAAAAAAAATCTAATTCAGATTCTAATGACATTTATTCAATGATGAGAAACAATACAATATTATAACATAGTATGTTATGTGTACTTTTCACACAGTATGTACAATTAAAGAAGTACTTTGAAAAAAACCTAATTTATTTTTTGTGGGTTACTTTGGAGCGGTAATTCAATCTGTTTTTTTAATACATTTCTATTTTTATGAAACTTGTAATTCAAAACTCATAATAATTATATACATAATTATTTTTCTTTTTAGGCAACATTATTAAAAAAGTCTGATTTACCCATTGTACATTCCAGCTTTGACACAATAAAGAAACAATCCTTGATTAAAATAAATAAAATTAATGCTTAATTGCAATCACACATTTTATATGTCTAATATGATAACTATAATACATGAGGTTTAGTTTCAATAAAAAGCTGTCTTTCATGAATATTACACACAAAAAATGAATAAACATTAATAAAAAAATATTTTCTAAGATATGAAAATGAAATGAATGTGACTCAATGCATGTTTCTCTTTTAATACTGTATTGAATAATATAAATGTTTATTGAGCCTATTCAAAATATGATGTTAATTCAATCATGTAACATGCAACATATGTAAAATTCAGAGCAGTAAAGAATATTGTGGATTTTTCAGCACTCCTTGTGTTTCAGCTGGAGGGCTGAAATACAAGTTACAATAGCACACCGTCTTTCAGATGAGACGTTAAGTCGTTGGTCCTGTGTGCAATTATGGCCCATGTGCACATTAAAGAACACACTATACTCTTCCAAAAAGAGTAGGGGATTGTCTCCAATTGTGCTGCCCAACTGCCACCAAGGACCCCACTGAAAATAAGTCTTCTGCTAGACTTTTGTGGCTATCTTTGGTGTTTGCACAGAATAAATCCAAATCCAATCCAAATAAACTTTAATCACAATTAACAAAGTTACAAAGCATTTTAATTGACTTAATAAAAACTGGTACCATAATACCAACACAATACAATCATGTACAGTATGCAGAGCACACAGCAGCCACCTACCAGTTCCAAATAACACTAGAATGACGCAAGTAGGCCTGTCCTATATTGGGCTTCTCAAGTCTTAACAAACGAGTTCTACTATAATTTACAATTACCACAAGCCCTACCTGACAAATACTTGACAAAACATGCCTTGGGCGATGACGTCCGCTGGATCTTAAAAGAGATTCTTCAATAATGTAAAATATGTATGGTATAATAACATTTAGTAATTGAATATTTTTACTGTGCCATCACCAATACTTGCTACTGCAAGTCTTCTTGGATGATGTGAAAGGATGTATAATCCACATGGTGTGTTGATTCCATCTTCTGGTTTATCAATTCTTTTAATGAAATTCCCATCTCTACTGAATAGCTGTAGTTTGTGATTACCTTTATTTGATATAATGATGTTTTCATCCTCGTCAATTACTACTCCATATGGCTCCCTTGCCTTACCATTCTCATCACCTTCTTTAATAAGGACTTTCATGAACCTGCCCTTGTTATCAAATTGTTGTAATCTACTGTTGTTATGTTCCAATACAAGAAGGTGTCCTTGGTTTGTAAGAGTAACATCAATGACACCATTAACTTCACCTTCTTGGTCACCCTTTGTCCCTATCTTCCTTATCATCTGACCACTATCAATGTCAAACATGAACACACAGCCAATATCCCAATCTCCTACATAAACAATATTTGCTTCCTCATCCACATGGATACCAACTGGATCTTTCACTACTCCCATACCAATTGACTTGACCACCTGACCATTCACATTGAATATTGTGATGTATTTATTACCTGAGTCAGTCAATGCTATGTTACCATTTTTCATTTTGTACATTGTCTCAACTTTCACATCTTGTGGTAGTGTAATCTTGCCAATATATTCTCCTGATTGCTTGTACTGAAGAATTTTATTTGTCTCACATGAAAATAGTAAGTAATCATTTTCTGAGTTAACTACATCTTTTACATCCTTTTTTTTAATGGTATTTACCAATCCTTCTTTCTCTACTTTGATTATCATTGGTGATTGCTGGATTGGTTTATCATCAGCACTCACATCTAGTTTACATATACCTGAGCTAGTGCATTGACCTGTCACAAAATAATTTCCATTGTCATCATCTTCAACTTGTGTAAGGTTCGTTTCTCCTGTAGGCTGTGTCCATGTTGCCTTCAGTTGATTTGCATGTATTTCACATTCATCTGTTTTGATTACTTTGACAACAATTGTCTGACCTTGACACACAGATTCCATTCCCTCTAATATTAGGCAGTCTGCCCTCACTTGTGTAACATTTCCAATATCAATTTGTTGCAATGAAGTAAGCTGTTGTTTATTTATTAAGAATCTAATGTGTCCATTATCATCTGGCTCTGTTTTTGGCAATTCATTGATTCTGTCCTTCAGTGCGGTAATTACTGTTTCACTTGATTGCATTGCTGTAGCTTCATGACTCCTCAATAACTGATTAAGAAAACTCAGTTTTGTATTTATATCAGATATTGTTGTGTTTAATTCATCCATTTGTGCATCGTTGACCTTCTTTTTCCTTTTGTATAGTGTCTCTAATTCATTTTTAATTTTGTCTCCATTCTCTTTGATTTGCCTTATCATCACTTGTATATGATTGTCAATATCTCTCAAAGCTGTCGCTTTATGTTCTTCTAATTTTGTAGCATTCTGTTCAACTGTTTTCAAGCCATATTGTAATTTGTTTTTACAGTTATTGGCAGCTTTCTCCAATGTTTCCGAAGTTTCTTTAAATGTTTGAAATGCTTTAGAGATGCTGATTGGTTTGTGTTTCCCTTCACATGCAATGTGGTCAGTAATTGTGCAATTTATGCATATTGGAGTTTTACACTCTGTACAGTAAAATTCCAAAGGTTTGTTATGATGCAAACACAGCGGCGGATGTAGTAAAGCCATCTGTGAAGGGGTCATTGATCGCACATCCTCCACTGAATGTAGCTTGTGGTTTGCAAAGATTCGAAAGTCTTTATGATGATCACTACAGGCAGTACACAAGTACTGTCTGCAATCCTGGCAGTAGTATTCTGAGAGTCCTTTTTTGCAAACACATTTCATCTCGGCTTTTTCTGAAAATTGTTCAAAGGTTTCCAGTAAGTTATTTAAAAAGGTATTTGGTGGAAGCTTTTGAAGCCCACCCTCTGGAATGAGATATGATTTTGAGCAGGTTGGGCAAATCAGGTCTCCCTTAGTCTTAACCCAGTCTTCCAGACATGCCAAACAGAAACTGTGGAAGCAGTTGAGGGATTTAGGATTTTGAAGTCTCTTAAAGCATATAGTGCACTCTAGGACCTTCTCATCAACACTTTCGAGAAACTGATTCAATCCTGTAAATTATAAATTATTTGTATTATTGTACAGCATAATTAATATACAAAATAATAATTTTGGTTTGGTGACTGATACTGTAGGCATGACCAGTGGTAGTGGTGATGGCATTGGTGGTAGCTCTAGTGGTGAGGTGTAGGCCTTGTAGAGCCCACAAATATAAAGGTCCACCACAAGGTAGTAGTGGCTGGTAAATAATGATATGAAAACAGGATTTTTAAATTTAAATAGTTAAGGAAAATTATTTTAACTGTCGGGAACATTTTCTACATGCTTGTAAATTAGGGACTTTTTAAAAGGGGTGGGGCATTTTTCTCTTTCTTTTTCTCTCCTGGTGTAGTTCTCACTGGAGCAATTTTTGCGGCTTACTTTCACAACTGAATAAAATGTTGCTGCAGCGTTGTGTCAGCATTATTTTATGACACACAACCAATAATGTTTGCAAACATTATAATGTAAGAACGCTTTGTGTTTGCTGGGTAACTATATATCTTAACATTTTAGCCTATGAAGCAAGTTTAAGTTAATTTGGAAACTAAAGGCTCATTATTTCAAACGTTTTGCATATAATATACTGTATGTATCTTCTGTGTATTTTACTGTGGACATTGTTAGAATATACTGTGCCTCTATAACTTGAACTAGGTTCCTGTGAACTGATTTTCTTATTTTCTAAATAATTTTCAGCTACCATATATCCTCTATGTCATGTATTTGTTTCCATGTACACTTTGTAGTTTACTTTTAGGTAATCCCAGGATGTAGGTAAAGTCTTAAACCTTTGAGGTCGTGGTCCGTATCCCAAACGGAGTAATTTATTTACTTTCCCTGGATGCGCGGTCCGACCTATTTATAGTTACTATGACGTTAGGGAAATCCCCTAAAAGAGTCAGCAACAGAGGGCAGCATTATTAAAACAATAGGACAAGGCTTAGCGATCGTATAGAGCAAAAAAAAAAAATTTTTTATGTCAGTGATTGATGTACTGTACTTGGATAGACGAGGATAGCGGAATTGTTTATATGATAAATAATTAATTAATTAATTAATAATAATATAAATAATATGAATCTGAGGAAAGATTTTAACTAGAAACTTTAGCAGCGCAACCAGTAATGCTAGGCCTAGGTCTGCAAACTTTCATTTCGGTTTGGTCATGTACATGGACCTGCTCTCATATTTCAATACTCCTACTCCCATTTCTTTATTATTATTATATTATATTATTATTTTATCAAATGTACTAGTTTTAGTGAAATATATCCTAGATCCAGTAGTCCACCCTAGTTAGAAATAAGCATATGTAGTCCTAGCTAGGCTTACTTGACCTCTATCGGTGGAGGGGGGGGAGGGCGTGTGATAGAGGCCGTTCCCCAAATTTTGACCTTAATGACCTTTGTGACCTTGGGCATAAAAAAATCGTCATAGATATGAAAGCATAATATTTCTTAACCAAAATTTGTTTTGTTTTTTTTTTGTTTTTTTGTAGAAAACATATTACACATAATGCGTAACATTTATGAGCATAGGCCTTTTTTTAGTGTCGTTTGCATGGGGTTTATGGGAAAAGAAGTACCTTTATTGGGCCCCTAAATTGCAATTTTGGGGCACATGACCTTTGACTTAGGTAAAAAAGTCAAATAATTTTGCTATTTTTCAAACCCAACATTTGCAGAAATTTAGTCATAAAAATTTATTATGCATTATTCAGAAACCTATTAAAACCCCTTAAGGGGCCCCAAAAACCTAGAATAAACCCCATTGGGACTTCATAGGGTTAACTGAGAGATGGTATAAATATCAAAAGAATGCTTGTATTATACATTTAACAGGAAGTTGTTCAGTAGTAAAAATAGATTCATGGACCATTCACATCATTATCCAACACTGGGAAACAGATATTATAGTAAGAATTTTATTAAGTTTTTCAAATGTTTTAAAATTATTTAAGTTGCATTGTGCTTATAAAATAAAATATTTACCTTACCTTAAAGTTTAACTAGAGGTACTGCACATGAAGTGTGTCATAGTTGTGGGTTTTTCCAGGTTTATTCCAGGTTAGTCATGTGACCTGGTATGGGATTGTGTATGCAATCAAGTGTGACTTTATGAAATCAGTCATGCAGCAGTGTTGAACTGTTGTAAAGTTCAATAGTTATAAACTCATCCAAGGTTTCTTTTACTAGCAGGGCTGAAAAAAGTGTGCCTGTGCGAATGAAGGCCGCAGTCATTGCATATTATTTCTCAGAAGGAATTGGAAAAAAAAATTCTAGCTTTTTCTAGACAATAACCAGCATCAGCCAGACTATATAGTAAAGCCTGCGCGGGCCTAGAAATACGTCCATGCATTTCGGAAAGTAAGGGCAGCCAATTCCTGCGCAATTTTTTGCAAACAATGTGATGTGGGATTTTCTGCGCAAATTTGAGCTAGTTTTTGAGAAATCATCGGCGGAATTAAAAAAGTATGGAGCATCAGTAATTTAAACATGAAAATTAAATTTTAATATATATTAGGTCATTTAGTGGAATTGACTAACTGTTACCATATTTACAAGTAAAAGTATTACAGCTTCTTGAGCTTTAAACTAAAGTTTGCTATATATTGCGACTCAGTTTTTAATTTAGTGCCTACTACCTAAATTATATATTGTTGGTAACTTTGCACTGGTATTTATGTCTTTATTCTAAAAAAATGTTTCATTTTTATTTTAATATAAAATGTACAAATCAAAATCATGTTTTCTATTCTTCCTAGGCAAATTATTAATAAAATGTTAAAGAATAATGATCATCAAAGTCTAAGGCCAACAAAAAAAACAAGAAATTGTGTTGGCCATGTTTTGGGAAAATCCAAAAACTGGGTAGGTAAACAAAATTGCCTTCCACCATGCCCTCTATTTAAATTCATGGGTCTGCCTAATGTGGTGACAACTATCTATTTAGCTTAATCTATATCCAAGTGGATTTGTATAGCTTGGTGGTTAAGATGCTTTAATTCCAATCCGTGGGTTCTAGGTTCAATCTGGTCACAGTAACATTATTTTTTTCTCACGACCAAAACAACTTCACCCTCATAAGGAGTCTTAGGCTGCATTCAGACTTAGAGATAAGCTGGGCTTGAGTTAAGCCTGGCTCAATATTAAGCCCCTGCAGCAATTAAACACTGTAGCATGTCAAGCAGTTCGGCTTGAGATAAGCCGCCTAGTTCAGACTGGCAGGTGGATAAACCCGGTGAGTTGAGCCGGGTTTATCCACATAGTCTGAACTACTGTATACTAGGCCTGTGTGTATGTAGATTGTCTTGTGTTGATATTGTTTGTCTTGTGAAGTGATATGCCACTTTGAATGTACTTTTTTTATAAGAACAATGAGCCTGATTGCTTCTTATAAAAAAGGGAAAATGTCATGCGGTTTCTTATATTTAAAAAAAAGAAAAATTGGAGTAGGTATGATGATGTTATACCCTCTATAATGTGGTTTCTTATATTTAAAAAAAAAAAAAAATTGGAGTAGGTTTGACTGTAATACCCTCTATAGTATAATACAGTAAAGTAATATACTGCTTATGCATATTGTTAATGTATGGACTAGCTCGTTTACAGTAATTTTCTTCTTTCCTAAGGTTCTCTTCATGTCTGAGCTACCCGGTAAACTGGTACCCTACTGTGACGTAGCATGGGATCTATCCCATGGTTCAGTAGGGGTTATTCATGAATTTACTATTTCTAATCATTGGCCAGGCATACAGGTCAATGACATTGTTCTATTTGATATATCATTCCATTGATTTGATGCCAGTGACTGGTCATTTATCATTTGGCTCTGACATGTCAATTGTGGGGACCAAAATGTTCAATGACCAGGACCAGTTAATGAATAAGAAGAAATTGTATGGGAACCGAAATGATGTGGTTAGAAAGGAATGTAGATCTAATGCTGGGAGGTTTCTTTATTAGCAACAAGGACTTTTATAAACCTTCCCTCATTATTAAATAACTGTAATCTACTTGTTCCAGTACCTAAACATTCACTCTCCAATACAAGAAGGTGTCCTTGATTTGTAAGAGTAACACCATCGACATAACTCATTTTACCTTCTTTTGTACCATGTGACCTTATTGTTCTGATGGTCTTGCCATTATTCATGTCAAACATGTACACACAGCTACTGAGGAAACCACTTGGTGCTGCATACAAAACATTTGATGTCTCATCCACATGAATGCTCCGTGGTGTATTCTTTACTCTCTCACTAATTGTTTTAATCAGCTGACCATTCATATTGCATATTCTGATAGGTTTATTATTGTAATCACTGAATGCTATGTTACCATTCTTCATTTTGTACATTCTGTTAACTTTCACACCTTGTGGTAGTGTAACCTTACCAATATATTCTCCTGCTGTCTCTTATACACATCTAGATGTGTATAAGAGACATGGCACCAGCAACTGGCCTACATAAACTTGTGTAATTATGATTATGGCATCTCATTGTCGTCAGTGGCACTCTCAGACTTAAACTGCCACCAGAAACATAAGCCAGCACGCCATCCGAACCAGCGCCGATATATATTGGCTGTAGGTTGTGGCGCCCCTGCACTAACCGTTCAGCCATCCAAATCGCCATAGAAAAGTGTTTAAAAATAAATTTTGTATGGTACTGTCAGTAAAAATTTGATCCCTGTCCAAAATTGGTCCCCCGGACTGTTTTTGGATTTAAAATTACCTGCCTACCATCATCATAAAAATTTAAAAAAATTTCATGAATCTAAAATAAAAATTATGATACTCATACACATAACCTCTGTCAGATTATCAGATTTTTTTTTGGAAAAAAAGTATTGGATGCCCAACACATCATGACCAAATTTAGGAATATCAACAGTTTTTTCAAAAAATCGCACAATTGATAGTCGAAACATAATGAATTTAAGAAGGTCAGTTTTTACCGAGAATTAATTGTTGATTTTGTTGGTAAGTGCTGCCTTACCACTTGGTCACTCGACCATATTATATTGTGGTTTAATTTATTGCTACTTTGATTTATTTGATTTATTAGTTTTACATGGTCACGTCAGTTATTCCAACATAATTTGTATTTTTTAGTGTCCTGCATATCGCACTGACTTAGGCGATACAAGACTGTCCCTTGTCACTGGATTTTATAACTAATAAACCAGCACAAAGTACACCTACCAGCTCCCAGCTTCTGGGTGAGGATAGGTAGCCACAGGTAAATGCTTTGGCCAAAGAAAACAAACAAGAAATTCGAACCAAATTCCACAAGATTGAAAACCCGAACCACAGCTACTATAAGGTTAGTTTAAACATAAGTTCTGATAAATCATTTTTTATAACTGTGTCATAGGCATAGGCTGGGGATACAGTGGTTCCCCCCCCCCATCCCGAATATGGTAGAAAATTCCACCACAGGTAAAGTGCTTTGACCAAAGAAAACAAACAAGAATCACAACAGTGATTCAAACCACATTCGCAAGATTGAAAACCCGAACCACTACAGTTGCCATAAGGTAAGTTATTGTATATAGCTGTATATTAGGGGTGTACAGTAGGCTGGGGGAATGGTGTGGAGGATGTACGTCACCCCCTCCATATACTAGAAAATTAGTTCTACTAAGTGGATTAAAAGACTAAAAACAACCATAAATTTTCACTGGAAATAGGAATTTAGTTCCTCATTCCCAATTTTTGCACCTCCCATGCCATTTTGCTCCTCCACCGCCCCCTACCCCAGGCCCAAAACAGCCTAAGTTTATGTACTGTAATACATAATCTCATAATCAGAAATAATTAACAGAATTGATTGGAACAATAAATGAATATGAAGATACATTTATTTTCATTTACAGCAATATATAGTAAACCACCAAATTTTACTCTTTAACCTTCACTCTTTAAAGGGGTCTCAGGAGTATCACTTTGCTGATAAGAATTTCACAGACTATGTTTGGAGTGCAGTAGTGAAGACTGCGCATGGCCACCCTGGGTCTTGTTGGTTGTGTGGTCACACATTTTTTCCAGCTGGCCATCATTAATAACTTCCCAATATTTTATAACCAGTCCGTACATTCTCATACAATTATAATCGAAATGGTGTACTACTACATTGATGATTAGTGCCATAAACTTATTGCAGAAATTAAAAAGGTCCACACACTTCTCATTTTTTCCACCAATCAAAGAGAGATTTTACATAAACAATCACTTAAAAACAACATATATCATGACAACTTCAGAGATTTTATTCCTACAGTATATTAATTTGGTATGTAAACAATTAAACTTAGTTGGTATATCATACAGTAATTAGAATTAAAAATTTGAACATTATAATATAATAATAATAATTTACTTTTAATAACAATTTGTATTGAGCTTAAAAACTGTTGTAGTGCTTTTAAGAAATAAGTCTATAATAATTATTTTAAAAAAGAAATAATAAAAAGAAGTTATTACCATAAAATAGTAACAACTGTTTTAACCCAAGGTATTGTAGCCAATTAACGAACAGGATTAGACACTTTCTTTGGATAGATGACTAATTTAATAAAACTTTCCTGTGGATATCCTAGTATCATTTCATTTGTTATTACCAATGATTCATTATATATCTGCTGTAGAAATTGAAAATATTATATAGTTTAATAATTTAATATTTTTATTGAACTTTTTTGTTTTTTGTTTGGTTGGTATAAATTATTACAGGTTGCTACGGCAACTCTTCGTGGATTATTTGAAATGATGGACAACCCACATGCATGCTTAATTCCATCTTTTTGTTTATCAATTCTTTTAGTGAATGTTCCATCACTACTGAATAAAAGTAGTTGGTAATTACATGCTACAATGATGTTGCCATCATCATCAACTACTATTCGGCAAGGTCGTGTAAACTTAACTTTTCTATTTCTGTTTCTAATATTAATGATTGATTTTATGTACCTTCCCTCATTATCAAATAGTTGTATTCTTTTGAAGGAATCATCCAGTAACAGAAGATGCCCTTGATTTGTAAGAGCAATGTCAGTCAACCTATAGTTGATACAACAAGGGTCTTCATTTAATATTTTTGGAGGAATCTTTGTGATCATCTCCCCACTGCTGAGGTCAAACTTGTACACACATGTTGAAACTGTATTTCCAGAAAAAATAAACATTTGTTGGTTTGTACCATAATCGCAAATTGCAGGCACATACACAACATTTGACGACTCATCCACATGAATACCAAATATACCATATGGAAACTCAAATACTTCCTCACCTATCGATTTGATCACCTGACCATTCATATTACATATTGTAATGCAGCTATTACCCCAATCACTGAATGCTATGTCACCATTCTTCATTTTGTACATCCTGTTAACTTCCACACCTTGTGGTAGTGTAACTTTACCAATATATTCTCCTGATTGCTTGTAGTTCAGTATTTCGTTTGTCAAACATGAAACCAGCAAGGAATCGTCTTCACACTTAATCACATCCCTAAGTCTAACATTTTTCATTTTAATGGTTTTCATTAATCCTTTAGAAAGATTGTGATGATGACCCTTAGAAATGCGATTTGATTTTAAGCAATTTGGGCAAGTCAATTTATTCATCTTAACACTGTCCTTTACACATGCCAAACAGGAAATTAAGAGGCAGCTGAAGGATCTGGGCTTACGAATTCTTCTAAAGCAAATCCTACACTCAAACAAGTTTGTCTCGTCTACATTATCTTCAACCTGATTTGGCTCACTGGTAGTCATCTTGAAACAATCCTGTGAATTATAAATCATTAAAAGGAAAATTAACTGAGGCTATGATCAGTGGCCTATTAAGCCTTGATTGACATTCCTTTTCATTTCATTATGTATTAGGTCCAACACAAAAAATATGGAGACCAGAGGCAAAGTGAACTGAATCACTGTAGCAGTGTTGGTTAACTCATCCCGAACCTACTTTTACATACCATACTACTCTACAAATTCATTACATTATCGTATTATCAACCATTATTAACCAAAAAACAATTATAGAAATAAATAAGGTAACTGGTCAGGTAAAAGGAAGAAGGCAGGACCTGTAAAGATGAGGAAAACAAATCTCGTGAAGGGACAACCTGAAAAGAAAGAAAAGATTATACTTACAGAATTATGATCTTTTTGAAGTCACTAAAAATTCTGTGTATATCTGTACACTTCTATTTCTTTCCTTCATCTGCGTCAGTGTGTGATATTGTCTTTACCCATTTAATTATTAATATATTCAAATTTCAAGGAAGGCAAACCAATCCAATGTACACCACCATCATTATTATAATCTTTGTTGACATTTGACCTCACTATGTCAAAGTACCGTACAAACATAGGTGGCAGTATAATGATATTTATCATAGCCCTGGAATTTAATGCTCTGTACGCTGTGTTCGGATGCATTCCTGACTTTTAATATTGGATTAAACATTAATAAGTATAATAAGTTGAAAGAAAATTGCTAGACTTAAAGTATTTAAAATATATAATCTATTTTTCAAAAATTGCCTTCAGCCCTGCAGCCTTCAGGCAGTTTTTTTGGGAAATAATAATAATAATAATTGCTTCTGTTCCCCATAGTGTAAAAAAACTGTAGATTTCCAAGATTAGTTACAATTGATTTCATGATTATTAATTATTAACAATAATAATAATAATAATAATTATAATTATAACAATAGCTTATTATGTATTATCATTAATGGGAATTCAGATAGGTATATCTTACTTTGTATTTGTAATGTACTTTATCATTTTAATATAATATATAACATGTAAATGCAAAATAAATATAATTTATTTGATTTGAAAAAAAAAGTAGGAAGAAAAAAATAAATAAAATCACGTTTTAAGGCAACTTAAAAATCTGGATAAAAGTAAGTGAAATTCAAATGTTGGTTTTGTGACTATTATTAATGCCTTTTTTTATACCTTGTTTTTCAAAACCACTGCACACCAATATTAATGGTCTTGAGTAAAATAAAATTTAATTTTTGGCCGATTGGTGCACCTGCCACCACAAAATTTTTTTTTTTTAAATGAAAGTTTTTGGTTATTTTTATAACGCCCGCTGCCTTGAAATCTCCAAAAATAAGATGTGTATATTTTTTCCCAATTATATATATATATTAAAAATATTTAACCATTATTACCATTTTATTTTTACCTCCATCTGGATGTTTTTGGCAAAACCATTTGCTAAATAAGAATATAAAATATTATTTTTATATTTTTTTTCCCGCTGACAAACTTTTAAAAAATAAGTTCGCGAAACAATTTAAAAAAAACAGTCTGGCCTTGTTCATACCATCAAAATTTCATGTCAGACGCAAGTAACAAGAAGGTGGTTAAAGGAATGATCCATTTCAGAATAGGGGTATTGGTTGAAATATACAGAGGAGCTATCACACACCCAGTTAATCCTACTCTTGATGGTAATTGCTGGTGTTCATAGAATAATTAGCAAAGTATCAGTTACTTCTTCATTGTATTATCTATATTTTATTAGGTTGTATTTATTTTACTAAATTTACCATAGAGCATCATCATTTCTGTTTGCTGAATTTCTTTTGTATCATAGTGTATTTCATTGAATAAATACGATCTGGTTAGGTTGTATTTATTAGTAAATGCAATCTAATAATAACTGTATTTATTTAAGTAAATGTATGATACTTGAATTAATTTAACCCAATAAATTATTTTTTGGTTATATATTATATATCTACATTTATTAATAATAATACAACTTAATATATCAGTTAATGATGCTGTATTAATTATGTATAATTAATAGATAATACTTAAATGAATGCATCCTAATAAGAAATGTTAATTAGGTTGTTCTAGTATAACTTATTTTTGTTAGATAAATACCACCTGAAAATAGACATAAATATAGCTCATAGGCCTCCTGAACTACAGCACTACACATCATTTTTTTCTTTAAAATGTTACACTTTCAATAGCCTAGGCTAGGCTCAGGCAAGGAATCTATTTCAAAAACATAAACCAACATAAAATTATAGTTCTATTTTAATACATAAATAACACTTTATAATAATAATAATAACAATAATAATAATAATAACAATAATAATAACAATAATGGTCGACTTATAGCGTGCATATTACGGACACCTCTATGTGCTTAACGGTATTGGTTGAAATATTCACAGGAGCTATCACACACCCAGTTAATCCTACTCTTGATGGTAATTGTTGGTGTTCATAGAATAATTAGCAAAGTATCAGTTACTTCTTCATTGTATTATCTATATTTTATTAGGTTGTATTTATTTTACTAAATTTACCATAGAGCATCATCATTTCTGTTTGCTGAATTTCTTTTGTATCATAGTGTATTTCATTGAATAAATACGATCTGGTTAGGTTGTATTTATTAGTAAATGCAATCTAATAATAACTGTATTTATTTAAGTAAATGTATGATACTTGAATTAATTTAACCCAATAAATTATTTTTTGGTTATATATTATATATCTACATTTATTAATAATAATACAACTTAATATATCAGTTAATGATGCTGTATTAATTATGTATAATTAATAGATAATACTTAAATGAATGCATCCTAATAAGAAATGTTAATTAGGTTGTTCTAGTATAACTTATTTTTGTTAGATAAATACCACCTGAAAATAGACATAAATATAGCTCATAGGCCCCCTGCACTACAGCACTACACATCACACTTTCAATAGCCTAGGCTAGGCTCAGGCCAGGCAAGGAATATATTTCAAAAACATAAATCAACATAAAATTATAGTTCTATTTTAATACATAAATAACACTTTATAATAATTATAATAATAATAATAACAATAATAATAACAATAATGGTCGACTTATAGCGTGCATATTACGGACACCTCTATATGCTTAACATAAATATGAATATTTATATGAATATAATCTAAATATGAATATAATATATAATATAATATATACCGATAAATATAATATAATATGAATATAATATATAATATATAAATATAATATGAATATAATATAATGTGAATGTATAATATAATATAATATGAATATAATATATATTATTATTATAGCAGTATGAATTATTATTATAATAATAATTGGACGATGAAACATACACAGTAAATATAATGATAATATTATTAATAGTAGGTTTTTATATAGCGCTCTATACAACTAAGTCTCAGGGCGCTTTCCACATTATTACCCCAGTATAGTACATTATATTTATGTAGTAATTAGGTTGTATTTAATTGATTATATAGTTACTAAATTATACTTAAATTGGTATCAACCTATCTTTAACAGATTTTTACATTAATAATAACTAATAACAAATTGAACCAAGGGGGTATAAACAATGTATTTGAAATATGTTTACTCATGATTCTACCTAAAAAAAAAAGCATTATAAACACTACACTTATTAATAATAATACAATCTAATAAATCAGTTAATTAGGCTATAGGTATTTAATTAATTATATATAATAAATAAATAATAATTAAAGGAGTACAGCCTAATATTATTTGTTAATTAGGTTGTTTTAGTATCATTTATTTTTTTAGTAGTATTTATTTATTCCCCCTAATAAATACCAATGGCATAAGTAACATTTCATAATAATAATTATTATTGGACGATAGACAGTAAATGTAGGTCTCTTCTAGAGTACATAGTAATTAATTAATAATACTTAAATTAATACAATCTAATCATCAGATTTTTCAGATCTACAGTATTTTAAAAATGTATCTCATGATACCACGAAAAAAAAAAAACATTATATACACTACAATTATTTTAAATTTGTAATTAGATTAAAACACATTTTATGTTAGTTTTACTTTGTCTTTGAAATGGACACAGAGAAGAATATTTAAATATAGTAGTATGTATCAGGTGTAGTTTATTTTTATGTATGTTTCATCGGGTTCCGTTTTATCATGTACAATAATAATTATTATTATTACTTAATGAAGTGCAAGTTTTTACAGAATAATTTCAACAAGAAAAAAAATAAATAAATCAATGCCTGGAACATCCATAAAGTCCTTAGACTTATTTCCAATAGGATAGTTCAATTCAATGCAATTCAGTAGGATTTAAATTGCTATGCACCTGTGATTGTGTACCTACATAAACATACTGGTAATCTATTTGTAGAAGCCTCACTAAGGTCTTGTGAAGAGGGAAATTGCTTAAACCTATATCTTCATCTATCAAACCTTTTGACACATCCAACTAAAGACCTCCAAAATTACAGTGGCATAACTATTGCAGATTCTGCAGGTTCATTGAACATGGGCTCCTAAGCTCCAGTGGCCATCGATCTATGAAGGTCCTGTCCCACCCCTTATAAAAAAAATCTGATGAAGCAATGCGTAAATAAAAATATAGATTGATAGTATTTATGTTTATATAATACTGCACATTTTAATTTAAAATTGTAAAAAATAATCACTTATGCCTAGGAGTGGTTCAGGTGGTTCATTGAAACTAGGCCCCTGGTCTTTTAGGGCGCACCCCTTATTTAAAAAAATCTGATAAATCAATGCGCAGACAAATATTGATTAATAATATTTATCTTTGTAATTTGATATTTTTATTTATTCCAAAGGCTATATATAAATGAAGTCATCACTATGTATAACCTTGCACCACATTATTTATCTAACAGATTTGTCTTTAAAAATAATTGCTATGATATAAGAACTAAACCAGAATTAATATTGCCAAAACCAAAAACTGGACTGACTACAAGAAGTTTGTCATATACTGTAGAGGTGAAGAACTTTGGAATGAACAATGTTAAAAATGTTTTAAGAAATTGTCTTTATTTAAAATGCATACTTGCGACATTGTAATTACACATAACAGAATGTTTGTTAACACAATTGTGGTAGTTTCTAACATAAACTACTGTATTTTTGTTTTGTGTTCCAGTTTGTAAAGTGTAATTTATACCCGATTCACACATGAAGTTAAATTTAACAAAATTGAAATGGTTCAAAAAGCTGTCATTGAGCAGCTGTCTCATAACTTAAAGTAGGTCCCTTGACCTTAGCCCTAACAAGGTGTCCCAGTAAAGAGGTGTCACTGTACAGTGTACAGTAGTGCAAACTGTTGGCATTTTGGTATTCCCCGGCCTGTAATAAATTAAGTTAAACAAGCAGAACCTCTCCCAGTAGGGATTTAAGCAGTGATTAAATGAAGCATGAGTTATGAGTTTTTGCAAGAAGTCCTGTGGCATGAC